GCAGCGCCACTAAATCGCCGGGGCTGGGTTTTACAGGAGCGATTCCTGTCTCCGCGGATTCTCTATTTTTTGGTTACCGCGAAGCTTTCTTCGAATGCAGTGAGGGCTAGCTCTCGGAGCGGTTCCCCGAGCAGACGCCATACCTTGGGCGCTGCCGTAATACCCGCTTCAAGGATTTCCCCAATGACTCATTGCAACTCCTGGCGTCCAGCGCCGCCCATGGCATCGAGAAAGCCAGCGAAAAGAACAGCAATACTAATCACCAAGCTTGCACGGTGCTGCCATCTCCAACCGCCACGGCCTGCTACCACACCTGGGTCGTCATCATCCACACCTACGTCAGGTGCCAGCTCACGTTCGCTTCAGACAAGCTCGTGGCCATAACCAGCGTTGCTCGATACCTGAAGGGCTTTTGTGACAATGACCTCTACATCATGGGCCTGTGGAACTTCAATATTGCTGGCCAGGTGCTCTGCCATGCCAAATCCAAGACCCATCTTCCCTCGAAGCGCCCGCTTGTTCTGCTTAGACATGAAGAATACTGCCTCCGATTTACCGCCCGCCTTCCACATCCCGGGACAAAATGACTCGGTCCTATATCGAGCACTGAGCTTCTCCTGGGCATCCGTGAATGCTGTGTGTACTTTCCCCAAAGTCAATCAGCCCGGCATCCTAGTAACCGCCACCTGCATCCAATACCGCAGCAGTGGCGCCGACCAGGACTTGCCCATCGAGGAGGACATAATCGACTCCTTGCCGACTGGACCCACAGTCGAGCTGAAAGTCGTTGGCCGACTCATCCGCGCAAAACTACTTCACGTGGGGGAGCAAAGCCTCATCATCTGGCCACAAGACCTCCTCCCCGGGACAACCAACAACGGTTTGACAGCAGACAAGAAGAACCCGCCGCCGCCAACGGACAATTCCGGGGTGTGGAAGGCAGCCGAGCTGGACTTTGACATTGGTCCCGACCCTGATGTTGTCCCATCGATTGCGAAGAGGCAGTTCTACTACATGCCGTGGCAGGAAGATTTCAGAGACAACCCCCGCCAAGATCTTCATGGGTTCCAGTGCCTCGTTCTTGAGCTTGTCGATCAAAGTATGGGTAGGTTTCGACGCGTGGGTATCATGTAGACGAGGAGCAGGGGGCAAGCAGAGCGATACCAGAAAGTGGAGTGCGGCGCGGCGCAGGCTGATGGGTTTCCCTGTTGGAGTTATGATGCCACCACCAGACTGCACACGATTTATATCGTGTAATTGGGTGGGTATTGGGTGAAGGTACAGGCGAGAGAAAACTCAACAAACAAGACCTTACTAGTGATTACCAGAACAAGAATACTACTAGTAACAGTAGAAAAGAAGAAGAGAAGAAAGAACTCAGACAACAGCGATATTGACCCGTCGCATGCTCAAATTCGCATATATAAGCCCACATCGTCAAGTAAAAATTATCCTCCGTCAATACCAGACCGGTCGGTATACTCCTACACACTCCTACACAAACAAGCCATCACACCACGCTCATCTCGCGACACAGACAAACAGAGAAACCCCCCAAAATTCAGCACTTTTCATATGTCCCATCCCAAATCCCAAATAGCCAACCCATGTCCCATTTCTACTTTCTCATTGATGCCTTACTGAATACTGGCAACAATACTCCGTCCCCTCGCCCGTCTCTTCATGCCCATGTGCTGCTGCACGTGTCCCAGCCGGCCCGAGTAGTACGAATAAAACCGCTCGCACCACGGAGGCAGAGAGAGGGAAATGATTTTGGTGAGTCTGGCTGAAGACAGCGTGGAAAATAGGCCGACTCGGAGAGCAAAATATTTGACGGGGAGGATAATTGTTGTGATGGTCAAAGGCTCATTAAGTGTTGCCGCTGCCGCTGCCGTGGTAAGATGGGTTAGTACGTGGTATAGACATTGGAGAGGGTTGACAGTCGTCAAGGTTTATTGAGGATGAAGAAAATTGACGTACTCGGAGAAGTGGCAGCTTTCTCGGTCTTCAAAAGGCGCGGCACTTGGACATAGACATCAAAGTCGCTCGCCGGCACATCCAGGCCGGCAGCGAAGAGAAAAAAGACGGTGAGGGTCGTGAGGAGGAGGAAGAGGGTTGTTTCGCCGCTGAGAAACAGCTGCATCTTTGTTATATTATGTCGATCGTAAATCGTAAATTCCGGTTTGTGGACAGTCGACTTGTTTATAAAGCAAGCAAATCTTAAAAAGGGATGGGGAAAACGAGTGTCAGGTCGGTCGGGGGAACCGAATCAGAGGAATAGAAAGAAAGAAGAAAGAAAGAAAGAAATATTATTTATCAGTCTGCCGTTTTCACTGTTTATGTTTCTTGGGACGACCCTTTCTGGAACATTCCCCTAGCATGGACGACTGGCATGCAATTATTTCTGCGAGGTATGTAGGGGGAGGCGAACCCTGACGCAGGGAGGGTCTGGGGCGTTTGCAAACAAAGTTCAAAGCCACATTAGTCTTTTCCAGGGACCCGTGGGACCCAGCCGCTCAGGATGAGACTCGGCTGGCGATTGGTTTTTAGACAATGAAGAAAGGTCAAAAAAGCCGCTTGCACCGATAGTTAAGGTATTTAGTGTTTTGATCGCCCCTGACCCTGAGCAGTCAAATGCTTGATCAAAAGTTAAACGCCACCTCGTACCGGTTTATTCTCTTGACACATACGTGATGCAAAGCTGATTGCGCGTCTCTCTTTCTCCGTCTCGTTCTATCCCCCTAGCGCAAATCGCGTTTCCAGCTGACCGGGTACTCTTCTTTTGCAAGGTTTCAAGTTGGATGGCCAAAAGATATAAGAACTGTGTGTTATATTTTCAAGAGGCTCAGGGCCGGCAATTAATTATAGTTAATTACATGAAACATGGTACAGGACAAATAACTCCAAATATATATTCAAACAGCCTCAATACTCCGTTATTTACCTCACAAGAACTGCGCTCTCCGAGTTTATGGAATTTGTCTGATAGTATATGTACTGCTTCAGCCGGCACTCGGGTTTCGGGGTGAACACGGCCCCCAAACAGCTCGGCTCGTTCGCGCACGCCTCGAGGCACTCGGGCATGCTGAGGATGGTCTTCTCCGTCACTCCCAAAGCCCCATCGCCGTCGACGCTGTAGTCGGAGTTGCATTTTCGTTTGAAAGTCTTGTTGCCGGCGGTTGTGGTGTAGTTGAGCCCGTCGGCGGACGGGCATTCGATGGTAACAGGCCCGACCGTGGTGATGATTGTGGTTGTTGCGGGCGCAAAGTTTGGGGAGGTGTTTGTTCCTCCCGTCCCTGTTCCTGTCCCCGATGACCCTCCTCCCTGTGTACCTGAGCCTGATGATCCAACTGGTGTGGTTTCTGTAGTTTGCACGCTGTTTACGGGACGGCTTCGTTAGCGCAGAGTTTCCCCAGTTTCCTTGTTTCAAACGCAAGCATGCGTGGCATGTGACTGTTTAATTCCGTTGGGTTGGGTTGGGGAGGTGTCTCACCTCGAATTCGCTCCCGTCTTGATCTTCCCCGAAGCCACCGCACCCAATATGCCTGCCAACACGGCGATAATGACCACCGCCACCACGGCGAGCCAGATGATTGGCCGCCTCCATAACGGCCTGCCCTCGTCTGGTGATGTCGTCGAGTGCACAGGCTCCCTGTCCCATGGCGGCCCTTGGGTCGTCAGCGTCGTGAACGTCGCGTTGGCTGGGTCGTGTGAGGGTGATGATTCGTCCACTGGCACTGGTGGAGGTACTGGTAGGCGATTTGGGGCCACCTCGGGGTAGATCTTGGTGGGTTCGTCATCGTAGATGAGGCCGTCGTGGTAAGGCGGCGGCGGCTTCCCAGACGTCTTGATTTGTTTTTCCATATCTTCTGTAATGTTTGGATCGAGTACCCGTCTGGAATGGCGGGGAAAGAACCAAAAACGAAATCGGAAGGAAGGGAAGGAAGAGAGAAAGAGGGAGGGGAAGTCGCAACCCGGTCTGGCAAAATGGTGGCGTTTTTGAGACTGGCACACACCTTCTCATCCCGTCATTCCGGATGTTGGCAGTTGCGATGAATGTCGTTTCGTGGCACAGCCAAAAATATGCTCTGAACCTTACCTCATCCGGCTGCTGCGCCGCTGGTGTTTGGCGCTTGTGCCAATCACGGATGGTGTTCTGTGCAGGGAGTCGCAAGGCCCCATCGACAAGGGAACAACGATCCGCGTCCTTCAGCGTGCTCTTGTCACCAACGTAATCTTGGGCCGTCGAGGCGCCTTCCCCTTGCATCGGCTTTTCGTATCGGCAAGCGCCGGGGTTTGTGGATATTTTGAGAAAACAGGGCCGGAATCGCCCCGTGTGTCACGTGTACTCTTCAGCTCATGCTGTGTACTCTTCCAGGTTGTTTCTGAGCCTCCAAGTCAGCTCGCGATCCCTCCGCCCTACGTTTGACGTCGATCTGTGACTCCAGATATCAATTCGGTGCGAACCGTGACAGCCGTCGCTCGCGTCGACCCGTCGGATGAAATGGTTCACGAGTCATCGTCGTGACCTCAGCCCTCTATCGATTCGTTTATTTGACGTCACATCGAGATCGACAACACTTGTGCTTCTTCGAGATTCAAGGCGGACCAAAATAAACACTGCACACACGCGAAATCCCGCGGCGGACGCATGGGCTAGGGAACGGACCCCATCCGCCCCCACATGGAATTTGTGGGACGTGGAGAGCACTTGAACTTCAAGCATCTTCCAGTTGTCAAGGTTAAGACTTAATTGACAGCCAAGGGCTACCAATCTATTAACCAATGCTTATACAAACGCACCTACCGATTTCACATCGTCCTCATGTCCTACACAACCTCCATTTCTGTGGTTTCCTTTCTTGCTCTGCAACCGCCATAACCTTGAGACCTGCAGCCCTAGAGAGATCTGAGACATGCAGTACGCTATACCTATTCTGGCCCGTCAGAATTACTGGACCCAACCGCGAGTCATGCCAGACAGCAAAAAACGAAATCATCGACCCACGTGCGGCTCGAACGCACAATCTTCTGAGAGGAGACTTTATCAGAAACCGAAATCAGATGCCTTACCATTTGGCCAGCGGGCCTGCCTTTTCTTTGATGGAGATATCACTCGCTAGTCACGCCTAAGACAGAGTGTCGAGCACCAAACCATCAGGGTTAGGACAAAGATCCTTGGGATAAATATTATTAAACATTCCACTTCCCTTAACAGCATTCGATGCATTTTCTTCGTCCAAGTCACATTTGCTTTTAAGTTTTAGAAGTGCTCTTGAAAAAGTTGCCACACCGGTCAACTGACTCGGAAGAACAATGACAGTGTCTTCATGATCAACACGCTAAAAAAACCTTCAAAGACAAAGGACACTTCAAAGAAAACCTGCAAGGATGCATCTCCGTCAATCACTTGAAAATTCACCATGAAATTTGGAAAAAGGATTCAGTTTCGTACAATCCCCACCATAGGCAGGTCATGAAATAGTTACATTTTGAAAGGAAAGAATATACAATCTAAAAAAGTAAGAAAAGTCCGAAGGAATAATCCGGATATTTTATGAGAGAAGAAAAACAAAAGCACTGGGGTATCATCTAATCAAACACGAGTTACCGACTCCTTTTTGTCGTCAGTCTCAACCCCTTTCAACTTGCTCGCTCAAGAGGAACAAGACTCACCATTGCCGTCATTTCCCTCGCCAACAGTGCTGCTCCCACCACTTCCACCGCCAGCTGCTGGAGTCTCTGGAGGTGCAGCTGGTGGACTGGTAGTATTGCCAGTACAATTTCCCGCAGCAGTGCATGCATCGACATTGCCACTCCCGCTTTCACCAGCCTCTGGATCCTCAGGTGATGCAGCTGGTGGAGCAGTAGTATTCCCAGTAGCCTCACAGTCTCCCGCAAAGCTGCAAGCATCGACAATCTCACTTCCTCCACTGATAGTACCAGGACCACCTCCAGCTACAGCGCCAGAAGGGCTGTCGTTGTTGCCTATTCCGCCTGCCGCGTTGGGGAGTCCATCTGGTGCACCACCAATTACACCACCACTACCATTGGGCCGACTGGTGCGTCACCGCCGCCGCTGACTCCTATGTTTTTTAAACAGGAAGAGTCAGCTTTGTTTGTTGACGGCAGTGCGGTAACTAGCACACGATCTCAGAGCAATCGACGGCGCCGGGAGAAGTACCTGGGCTGTTTGCGGAGGATGTAGCTGATGGTAGGAAAACAGTGACGGTGACTAGTGAGGTGAGGGTTACTGTGTGGATGTTCTTGGGCGGGTCACTGGCGGGCGGAGAGGCTGAAGTCTCTGGGGCAGATGGTTTGACGGATGTGATGAATGTGCTTGGGCCGGCGGGGATGACCACCAGCGAGGTTGGGGTCGGTCTAGATGGCACTTCGCTAGACGGTGTCTCAGAAGAACCAGGACCAGCGGGGATGACCACCAGCGAGGTAGGTGTTGGTCTGGAGGGCACTTCGCTGGATTGCTCTACTGCTGAAGTACCTGGGCCAGCGGGGATGACGACCAACGAAGTAGGCGTCGGTCTAGACCCCTCAGAAGGAGTACCAGGCCCAGCTGGGATGACGACCAGACTCGTCGGTGTCGGTCTCGACTCTCCAGAAGCCGAAGTCCCAGGCCCAGCAGGAATAACAACCAAACTCGTCGGCGTCGGCGTCGCGGATGTTAACGGAGCCTGGCCAATACTCCCCCCACCGATAGGAATATCAATAAACGGCGTCACCGTCTCGGTGGCCGGCTGCTCATAATCCGACGGCAGCGCACCAGTCAGAACCCCAATAGGAGGAAGCGTGAACACCGGCTCGGCAGGAGCGTGGTCGAAAATCAAACTCCACTGCGCGGCGGCGGCAGCCTGAGCCTGAGCTTGAGGGATCCAGGCATCTGGGCCCCGGCCTTCTGGGTCCCAGAAACTTCTCGCCTTGAGTTTCTTGTAACCGGGTGTAGGTCGCGCGGTGACAGGTCCGGCATCGGTCCTGGTGGTGTCTACCTCGACGGTCCACCAGGGGACGCCGTCGATTCCGGTGAGGACGACTTGCAGGGGCGTTGTGGTGACTGTTTACCAGATAATCAGGTCAGTGTTTTTTGCTCATTTCATTTCCATTTCAGACGCCTAATAAGTTCTTTTGAAGTGGAGTGAAGGGATGAGGGAATGAGTGAAGGGAAATTAGGCAGACCAGCTAGAGATAATCCGGCGCACAATCTTGCCACCGGAGCACGTAGTCCCAGCTGCAAGCGCTTGCTTGACGGCCTTGCCGTGATCACATAGCCCGAAAAACCCGGGGGCCATGCAGACGATGACACCATCGGGAGAGCAAGGGACAGCAGAAGAAGATGTAGAAGTAGACTCACCTGCGGGTGGCGCAGGGGCCGGGGTGACGGGAGCTGGTAATGGGCCGGACCCGGGAGTATCGGGGACGTCCGCGGGAACCGCAGCCGGAGTGGTGAAGGGGATGACTGGAGGACCACTGGCAGGCGGAGGGTCGATTGGCGCGGGGGCGGGCATCGCGGGAGGGGTGTTGCCTGGGATGGGGATGGGTGTGTGGGAGCCAGCGGGACCGAAGAAAGTTGTTACAGCAGGCGGAGCTGGAGTGTCAGCTGGGGGAGCAGCGGGTGCAGCTGGAGCCGGAGTAGGGAAAGGGGAGGGGAGGGGCACTACAGCGGGAATAGACACCTCCGGCACGGCCTCGAACTCCGAGGGGGCCGCAGGGGCAGCTGGGGCAGGAGCAGTCACAATCGAGACACCAACACCTGGCTCAGCGATGGCGGTGGCGATGGGGCTGTTGGGCGCCGTGGCAATGACCATGGGACTGCCGGGTGCCGTAGGAACAATGGTGACTACCGTGGGCGGCAGAGAGATGACAGCCATGTCGCCAGCAGACTTGGACGGGCCAGCGAGAGACGAAGTGGTAGCAGCCGCAGGGGCAGCCGCAGGGACCTTGTTGGAAACACCATCAAAAGTCGGGATACCGTTCGCCTTGGGGCACGAGCCCTCGCTGCCTGCCGCAGGCTGCTCGAGAACCTTGCCGAAGTTGCCCGGGTTGGGGATGTTCAAGACACCCTGGCCGGTAGTGCACTCCCCAGGAACATTAGCGACGAACATCTGAGGCAGCGAGTTGAAGAAGTTGGCGTCGGTCGAACCGCCCTGGATGGACACAGGGGCGCAGTTCATGTACAGCTCGCGGTTGCCGATCTTGTTGTACCACGTCCAGGCAAACGTGGCGTTGCCGCTGGGCAGACCCTTGGGGATGGGGACGTTGAACTGGCGGATGCACTCGGTTCCGGAATCGTTACCGCAGTGCACGGCGTCGGCGCGGCCATCCTGGTCGATCAACCCACCCTCGGGCAGGTTACCCGCCGCAGAGACGGGGCAGCCACCGATTAGGGTGTAGATGGTCTTCCACTTGGACTTGTCCTTGGGCGGGGGGTACTCGTACGTCAGCGAGAACTGACAGGAGCCACCACCGTGCTGCGCGCCACCCGTGAAGTTGACCAGCTGGGTCGAGCCGGCCGTGATCGGGGTGACAAACTCGGGCGTGCTCAGGCCCTGGCAAGGGAACGGGTGGGCGGCGCCCAGCGGGTCAACCTGCACAAGACGGGGGTTCTTGTGGTAGTTGTATGGTGTCGGGGTGTTCATGATCATGTGGCCGTTCGCCGCGCCCAGGAGGACGGCGGCGACGCCAGTAGCGAGAACAGTATTTGCGATCATCGTGGTTGCTTACGGGAAGTTTGATGATCTGATAGTAAGCTTGTAAAGTTGTGATGACTGTGAGAAACCGGAAAATCATGTCGTCTGTTTTGGGAACATGAGGGTCCGTTATATCTTGAATCTTCAAATCTATTGAAGAGTATTGGACAAAGGTCGTGAGTTACTTGACAAAGGGGTTGGGTCAGTTTAAAGAGAAACGGCACGGGAAGAGACCTTTGATATTGATGGACAAGCACATTAAGAAGATATAAATGGAACCAAACGACAAAGACGAAACGGCAGAGGGAGTCTGGGGAAGCTTGACATTGTGAAACGGTAACAATGCCAGACTGCCTCCGTAAGAAAGAGCCAGATAAGATGCACGGCTTGACCCCTGGCTACGTGACTACGCCGGCACGGCCTGTGCGGCATGGGACTTATATATAACCTCAAGTTAGTAGTTCTGACCCATGGCGTGATTCTTTGGTGATTTAGATAAATGAATAACGGAACGAATGCACCGTTTATGCCTTCCTCCTGTCTCATGAGATATTATTGGACTCTTTTTTCAACTTAGTATTCCCGCCAAGACTCCAGACGCGGGAAGATACTATTGTTCCCACACGTCCTCAAGCAGTATTTCCGCCACTGAGCCTTAGACTAGACGCGGGAAGATAGTATGTTTCTGAACACCCTCCGCCTGAACCCCCCCAGGCCCCTCAACAACAACAATCTTCATCCCCACCTTAACACGCCGCACCAGCTTCAACAGTCCCCATCGCCCGGGCCATCCATCCCACAATATTTCCAGGACATTTCTGTCCCGGTTGTTCCTCGCCAAAAATCTCTTCTTCAACCCCGGCCTGCCAGTGAACCTATCAATCCAATGACATGGATTCCGCACCCCCTGCACGACAACAAGAACAACAACAGAATGCGATTGGAGCTCTTTGCCCTCGTCATCTGTGGGGTGTAGAAAGGAAGGGAGTTTGGCGAGGGCGTGAAGTTGTGAACGAACATGCTGGGTTGCTGAGGGCTCTAAATTCTGATTAAAAGTTTTTTATAAAAAAACTTGTCGCTCGCTTGAAGAATGCTAAAGCTCGACGCCTCTAATCTGTATAGAGGTGGTACTTAACAGTCAGTCATGCGGGGTTGTTAGGTATAAATTGTCGAACCCCCCTCCGTCCGCTGGGCCGTCATAGAAGGACACACTTATTGTAGGCCGGAAGAATGGTCGCACTACTCTCATATATTGCAAGATAACCCTGATATCTACTGAACTATGATGGCTAGATAAGTCAAATATAAGGATAAATATAATACTCCCTCACTTTTCTGTTACAACGCTCGTGTCCGATTTGCCCTCCCATGAAACATTCATAAACTCCGCC